TTCGTAGACAAGATGGCTTTGGCGGCTGCCTGTAGTGGTGACCCGCGACCATGGAGATATAAACAGCTTTTTATAAGGTAAAAATGATAAAACACGGTCTTTGTCTGCAATGATTAGATATGTTTTTTATTATTGTCATTAGTGATTATCTCAATTTCAGCTAAAAGAATTGACAAAACCCTACACACTGTGCCTTTAAGTATTAAAAGTAAAAGTACTGAGTAAAAGTGAGCAGTTAGATTTTCCAAAATGACATTTATTGAGAGGTGACTTCTCCAAAAAATATTTTTTCTAATGGCGTGCAGCTGTGATGGACATTTATCTTAATATAATTCAAAGATAAAGTAAGCATCATGAGTGAAGACTGCCCTCACCAGGGGCGGAGCTTCAGGGGGGCTGGGAGGGCTGCATGCCCCAGGCCTGGGTTGGGGCCCAGAGTGAGTCTGGACCCTGTCGGGCCCACAGTGAGACAGAACCCAACCCTCAGTTTACATTATGCTGGTCTGCTTTGATCCAACCTCTGCAGTTAATATTCAACCATTATAATCAAGGACCAAGGCCAGATTATAACACGGGCCAAGGGGCCCATGCCCACTAGGGGGCCCACAAATAAAGGGGAATAAAATAAAATAAAAACAGTGCTGTTTGTATTACTTGGTAAAATAACATGGGCATAGCAGATGCAAGATACACGTTACACGTGGGACATGTTCCCTGCACTTCTTGTGTCTGTGGTTCTGTCCCTGCACTTTTTAAACTGATTACATCCATTTAATTTATTAACACAKGTTTTTTTCCGAGACGTCTTTAATAACACCATAAGCATGCACATGAAAACGCTGCTGCACGGCAGGGGGAGAAGTCCTGCTGAGCAGAGCTTCACCGTGTCAGAAACCAGACAGAGCAAGCATATCGCAAAAACTTTGCTTTTTCTTTTCTTTAAACAACCAGTAAGTTGAGTGATGCTGCTGGAGGCACTAAAGTCTGCTCTGGGTTTTCCTGGTTACCTACAAGAAGCAGGCAGGAGCAACAGGTGATGATCAGCTTCTGTGGTGGTTGTTTTCAATATCTGATCCCTCCAGACATTATGGCCATCAGGAGATTATTTACAAAGAAGCAGAAAGTAAGTCAAACTCTCTCCACAACAGGATAGTTTTCTTCCCTGTGTGCAGTTAGTGCAGTTAGCCGCTGGCTACAGCTAGCTTAGCATTAGCTATTAAGTAAAATGCAAGAAGGGAATATTTGTTTCTATAATTTACAGCATCTGCTAAAATGCACAGAGGMATCAGCTGGAATTATTATTATCAAGAATAAAACATCAGACACTTTTGCAGCGGCAAGCATGCGCCCCCTATTGATCAGCTGCCACTGATCCTTAGTTAGTTTGGAGAGATAGAAAAGTGTTGTATTTGTCTTGCAGGATMCGTGAAGGAGGTAGACCCAGAGGAGGYGGCCGTGGAAATCCAGGAGGTAAGTGATCTTGATGGCAGTTCTTTTTCCAGGGTTAGKGAGTGGCAGGGCAGAGACGATGAGTTCCAGGAGCGAGTGGACTTCTTCCAGTGAGGTATCAGAGAATCCAGCCAAAAACACAGAGTTGAGTCACGAATAGCTAAGGGTTCCATAGGAGCACAAAAAAAGTTACTCAAAATGTTTCACAAGGGAAATTTACAAGAGCTGTCTCAACAGTACCAAAGGTGACTGAATGATTCAGCGAGGAATGGATCTCTCTCTGGAGCTTAAGTACCACCCAACTCATCAGGAACAGGTGATGCTYCTCGGCCCCCCGGTGGGGTGTGCGGCTGGCCGCCGGCATGCTGGGGGTTCCCGGGGTCTGGGGCTGGGCGCTGGGGTGTGTGCCGGCCTGGCCTGGTGACTGCCTGCTAGGGCTCGGGGCCTCTGGCCCTGTCGGGCTTTGGCCTGGAGGGGGTGCACCCGCCCAGACCTCTGTGCCCTTTCCTGGATCTGCTCTGGTATGGTGGGTGGCCGATGAAAGAGACCACCCGCGGAGGGTGAGAAG